GGTGTGGACGCCCATTAGCCACCGCGGCCTCAGCGAGAAACTGTTAAAACGCTACTTCGGACCCTACAAGGTCATTCGCCGCCTTGGGGATTTGAACTACGAGGTGCTCCCCGACGGAACCCGACCATCAGCATGCCGCCAGCCACGACTCCAAGTCGTCCACGTAGTTTGACTCAAGCCGTTCTACACGCGTTAGGATTGCGACACTCTATGTTTATTTCATTTCACCGTAATTTTTTAGCCATTTCTGTTTTCCTTTCGCGTTGCATCGGGACGGTGCACTTAAAAAAAAAAAAAGGGGGGGGGGGGGTGTAATGCCGCCCGCAGTCCCGAGAAAGCAACGCCCTGTCACGGACTTCTGGAAAATTCGCGTTCATTCTCGCACCAGACATATCTTTCCCTCTGCTTTCTTGTTCTCGAAAATTCCAGTTCATTTTCGCCTCGTGCGCGCGACGCTCGAACTTTCTTTGCCGATCTTTCGAGATAGTGACGGACGGTAGATAAGCAGCCGCCGGCGACCTTTTCGAGTCAGTCTCGCTCGCGCTCTCTGTGTCGCCGCCGCATCGCCGCCTGCTTTTCTGCTGTTTCGACGCTCTTTCCTTACTTATTTTGTTTGGCACAAGTTCGCCTATTAAAATAGTATTAAACCTTTATTTTTCAGTTCACTGCTCGTCTTCGTGTCACCTCCGTTCGTGACAATATTATACGTGAACCCACTCGCATTACCAGCACTTTGAGTACGTCGATCGATCACGCTCTTCGTAACATCGACAGCGGTGTGTGTGCCGGAGTTTACTCTGATCCGAAATCGGACCATCTGTCTATTTTTTGTTGTCTTGCAAAAACCAGTTGTTTGTAAATACGAATTGTTTCCGTAAATTATGTACCAAGATAAACTATGTCCTACTACGCAGTATATTAGAACAACTTTTCATGGTATGCATAATCATGGAATAAACAATGAATATCAAAACTTTGTTCATACTTTTAAAAATGCAGCAATCTAGAGCGCTGAAATTAGGGCATACGACAGATATGAAGAGCTGGTCTGCCTTTGGATGACGAGTCAAATCTTAGGCGCACTGAAAGAGAAAGACAGCTGGTATCGTAAATGGAAGCAAAACAAAATAAAGTAATATTTATGACAATTTAAGTGATTAAGAAACGTATGTATTTGTTTTATGCGGAAAAAGAAACGGAAATATTGCTCCCCGCATATCGAACAAGCCGACGGGAATACACAAAAGATTTCGGATATGGCCAGCCAGCAACAGCCAGGCTACATCGGCAGAGTGAGAGCCCACGGTTATACCCTGTCTCGTTGTAAGTTGGCAAAGGGGGAACGATAAGCCTCATGTTGCGTGCCGACGGCTTTGATATGCGCTACGTATACGATCGCAACACACACATATATTAAAGCATGACGCAGCGAAAATCCTCATACTTCTTCGCTGTAAAAGCGTACTCCGGTGATACGTAGTCAGGTTCCGATTGGCCCGCCAAGGTCATAGCTTCCGCCGCACTGGCATGTTATACGATCACGGTTTCCTGGTCTACCCAGTATTTTTTGCATCAGACACTAGGCTAAGCGGCGCCACCAGAGTGATAGCTCACGCTTGAACAATGCAGCCGCCACTCCCAGGCCTACCCCATATTTCTTGATTCAGTCGCTAGATAGCACCAAACAGCATTGCAGGTTGCCTATGGTTAATCATGCAATCGGCCTTCGCTGAAATTGACCTGTGCAACCCGAAGTAGCTGACAAAGAATCGGTAGACAGTTTTAATGACTACTTCACAAACATAGGTCCTCTTTTAGAAGCACAGTTGCCAAATGTTATTGTTTCCACGAGGTTAACGAATTCGGTTGTTAATACCTTTGTTATACAGAAAATTCAGAAGGCTGAAATTATGTCTTCGATTAGAAGTCTTCGAGTAAACAAAGCGGCCGGGCTCGATACCGTTCCAGTTAAATTAATAAAAAATAATATCGACATTGTAGGCGATAATTTTCTACATTTGTTTAATCATTCACTGAAAAGCGCAATATATCCTGATGAGCTTGAAATAGCAAAGGTTGTACCCATTTTTAAAGAGGGAGATACTTCCGAGCCGTCTAGTTATCGAGCAATATCCCAATTAGGTATAATTAATACATTTATTGAAAAAATACTTTGTAAATACGTTAAGGAATATATAAGTAAGTACGATATTCTCTGGCCCTAGTCAACACGAATCTGGGCCGAATAGATCTACCTTTTCCGTTGTACTTGTGTTAACCCAGCTTCTTAGTAAGGTTCTTCATGACAATAAAATTTATGTGGTTGTTTATTTGGATATAAGTAAGGCTTTTGATACAGTTAATCACACTATATTATTAAACAAGCTTCGTAAGTATGGTTTTAGGGGGAACATATCAGAGTTAGTTAAAAGTTATCTTTCTAATTGAACATAATGTGTAACGATTAATAATTTTATTTATACACCATTAACAGTACTCACAGCGGTACCGCAAGGCTTTATTTTGGGGCGAATTCTTCTTTTCTTACCAGGTCAATGATTTTCCTTCTGTTTGTTGTCACCCTGAAGCACTCATATAGGCTGATAATACAGCATTAAGTTTTGTAGGGGACACAATAAGTAAACTACAAGGTAAAGTGAACGAAGAACGTACCAGGATCTTAAGGTGATTCGCTAGTAACCAACTCATACTTAACATTAAAAGAACTAAGTACACTGTGTTTCACTCTAGAAGAAAGAACAAATTCTGAAGAACTAGATATATGCTTAGATAGCGCGCAGTTGCTGCATGTTTCCTGCTTCAAATATATAGGTGTCTTGTTTGAAACCGATATGCACTGTTAGAACCAAATTAAAAACAAATTTACAAAACTTGCACGTTGTTGCTACACACTGCTAAAGGCTCGGGAGTTCTTTAATTTTTCTATACTGCGCATTCTATACTTTGCATTTGTACATAGTCACTTGAGCTACTATATAGAGTCTTGGGGCGGAACATATACCACGTATCTAGAGCCACTCAGGCGATTACAGAAAAGGGCTTTGAGACTTATTACTTCTTCTAGATGTACTAAACCAAGTAGTCCTCTTTTTCGATCAGTTGGCGTGCTGCCCCCCACTAGACTTCCTATGCAAATTAAAGATAGCTGAAACAGTCTTTAAAATATTAAAAAAAATAACGACCCACTTCCAATACATCTATTTAAAATACCATTACGAAATACGAGGGATGCAACAAATAATCTGTATAATTTGCCACCTTCTAGAAATGTTTATGAAGACAGGCTTATTGAATTCAAGGGTGCCCTAGTGTGGAACGGTATCCCCACCGACATACAATGTAAACCCAACCTTTTGACATGCTTATGGAAGTGTCTAAATAATTTGTATATCAATGAATATGTTCAATTTCATATGTCATGTCTATACTTTGCAATTAGTGTACACATTGCTTCGTGTATACCTTGACATGTGCGTACGTTTGTTTTGTTTGCCTGCCGCATTGTAAAGTTTCTTTTTTTCCAGTGTTGGAACCGCGACTAGCCTTCACGGCTAGGGGTACAAGCAACAATTGTGTATTTCAATAGAATAACAAAAGAATAATAAAGAAAAAAAAATGAAAGAACAGAGATAACACACTGGAGTCATCCATGAGGTGACCTTGGAACTTCAGTTTGCTTAAACAAATGTTTTGCGGCATTTTCAGGATCAGACGTACGTAGTATGTGTGTCGTTATTAACAGTGTCAAAATGCTTTTCAAGCCAAGATGGAAGAAATGATGCGCGAAAGAAGTCGAAAATAGGCAGACCGTGAAAGTGTTTTACGGCTCTCGATAGGTGGCGCCAGTGTAGTCTCTCATCGAAAAAGGTTTTAAAACAAGATTTACGACCACTACGGCACGAGAACTGGGTCAGCCCCGGACAAGAACTACAAAAAGGAAAGCAGATCTTGGATTTGCTTCCTAACTTCGTCAGGACAGCGAAGCTGACACGTCGTATATAATCTAATTTCACCATCCCATTCAACCTCCCATCTTCTATTGTCGCCAGACAAGATAACTGTACTAAAGCTATCTTGATTTTTCTTTCCTTTCAATAAACGTATTTACCAGTACTAGATATTTTAAGAGGTTTTCAGGGCACACGGTCCTACGAAGTCGGAAATGTGTCAAGTTACTTACTGACTGGAATTCTGAATGTACACGGTTTTTTAGGAAGCTCTGCATACACTGAGCGGCCGTGGACATCTTTACTGAACCGTAATCCAGAAACTTTTTTTTTTTCCCACGTGGGATTTCATTTCCTTCTTTGGCGCTCCGGTTTAGTAGCTTGTAGATATAAAAAAAATTACTTACCCGGAGTTCTAACTTGAGAACCTTGGAATGATACCAAAATGCACCAACAATTTAGAACACTTATGGGTTCTAAGAAGTGAAATAAAGGTCATAAATGTTATGATATATTCATAAAAGTCACAATATGCCGATATAAAAAAAAAAGAAACAGAAAAAACAAGCAGATGCAGGTTCAAACTAATTCTCCTTGATAAAAAGGAAGTAGTGTGGGATTGTTTTCACGTCGCCGACCAAAGGCTAACACGCGACACAAATTGAATACGAGTGTTGTGTCTGGATTTGAGTGGGTCTCATGTTCTCACTGATTCAGCGTGAGTTCAGCCTAATGCTGATGCGGTACTTGTATCGCACCTTCTCCATACGCTGGCCTGCGGTCTTGAACGTAGTAAATTCAACGCAGTTGGCTGTTATCTAAGGGAGTTCGGTTAAATCTATCTACGACATAGAAAGAGAGAAAGGGGAAGAGGCTACTTTGGGGGGGGGGGGGGGGGGTATAGGATGTTAGGTAGGGATGTGTGCGGTGTGAGCTAATTCACATTTAAGATGTGGTATATTCTAAGGAGTTCTTAAGTGTTTTAAAACAACACTCCATGCGTAGAATGGCCGCGAAATACAGACATATAGCTGTGAGTAAGGAATCGATTTATTTGCCACAAGCTGAAACAAAATGTCAACATCCACAGTAATCATTCATATCGCTCGGGCAATCGGTATTAGAGGCGGTGTTATAATTATGTACACGTCTTCACACCACCTTGTTTAAGTATACATGAGGTCATTTTCTTTTTCTGTTGCGACTGGAACTGCGTAAGTACTGTTAAATAGTATGTATAGTCGACGCACAGTGTACTATGATACAAGATATACAACTGCAAGTGCTCGTAAGGGCTAGACGGTTAAGACTCCATTGATAGTATCACAAACGCAACACAATTCAACCGTGCATTTTGTCGTCCAGTGCACCCAGAAGCCTTTCTGACCACGTGCTCAAAATTATTTGATTTGCTTCCTAAAATATAACATGTTGTTCGACACACGAACGCATCGAAATACATGTTGAATTCCTGGGGTCACAACAACGCGTTAAAAAGAAACAGTTTAAAAGACGCAATATCTGTTATAAAGTGAAACCACGAGGCTACACCCTAGGGTTAGAAGGTAGTGCGTTTAACAAGTTCGGTAAAACAAAATGTACACCCATCAATTGGAAAGGACTAGAACCATCCAGAACGGCATTTTTGTTTTCTCACGGAGTTATCGTAATTTTGCTTTAGGAGTTAAGAGTGTCACGATTAGCTCATCGAGGATTTGATTCAGAAAGCGAAACACCTAAAGTAGAGAATATCTCACAATTCATATAGAAGCCCGAATAGACCGGCTACAAACACGCGACGCACTCAACCCAAAGGCTGCCTTTGTCATATGATATAAGCTATTTTTATATTAAGTACTTACATAGCTATTTCGCGATAGATCAAATTGCCTCTTCTAGAATTGATTTCCATTGCAAGACTGACAGATTTCGAGGTAGCTTATCTCTTGAACAGGTCTTAACAAGATGCCAACGATGACCCGATATTTTGTGCTATCGCCGGTTTAACTATTCTTTGAAGTATCGACCACACTCAGGTGACGGCAACAACCGGCTAATGTCTTACACGCAGGTCTTAGAACCTCACTTGAAAGGCAGGTATACTCGGTTTTATTTTAAGCGCAAACGCTACCAGCACTAAGGGCCAATGGGGCCAATGAAGGTACTTGGAAAGCCTTATGTCGTGGTATCTTTCGTGCTTCGATGCGCGGTTTACCGCGAATTGATCAAATCAAGTGCTAAGAGTGCGTCGTGGCATCTTGTTTTCTCTGCAGTTTTGTGTTTCTAAAACCTTGAGTCCCGCTTGGACTTAAAAGAAAAAAAACGAAATATAGTTGTTTGTATTCTACTTATGCCTCAAGTAGGCCGAAGGTTCGTTGAAAACCTCAAACGCAACTCAGCGTACTGGATAGTTCTGGTCCTGCGTAACAGGCGCGATTCCTAGTCACCGAAGTAACGAGTGTACATGCGCCCACACACGCGTTAACAGTATTAGATAGACTTTCTTTTCCGCTAAGTGATATGACAGCGAACGGTAATGGACTAAGAGACTAGAGCTTTTACAGCAGTCCTGAGGCCCTGGGTTCTCTTCACAGAAACACAAGTCCAGATTGTTTGCATTTTGCATCGCGGACAAAAAAAAAAAAAAAGGAACCTCTTTGTACCAATGTTTTAGCGATGTCATCGAATATTGATAATAAAAATAAAACAAAAGAACAAGAATGACCAGCGTATAAATATTTTTTTTTTTCAAATGGTTTTGAAGCGTTTGGGTCTAAAACAAATGATGATGTATGACGCTGTTTGATTAAATTTTCATATGTATTGATAATAGTGTTATGGGAAAAACTATAAAAAGAGTCTCATTTTAAATACTAATGATAATATAGGTAAATTTGTATTGATGTACTTAAAACAATAATGCAAACTTTGTAATATAAAACTGCCTCTGTCTTTGGTAAATACCAAAGACACCCTTATATGCATACATTTATAGACCCTCAATGACGCCATGATGTCGCTTGAAGTCCCGTTACATGAAATCGCGTGACCATAAAAAAAACATGGTCACGTGACCCTACTTCACGCCACCATGTAACGTCGTGTGCTCACCGTGACGTCGTTACTGTGTGCACGTGATGATGTCAGTGAGAACATCTTAAAACGCTCATGACGTCACGTGACCTCTGGGACGTCGTCAGTGTGACGTCACCATTGAAACTGCACGCTACGGACACGAAAACGTTAACAGCTGGCCTTATAAATAATTCCAGTTGTTTCTTGGTTCCGGTGACAAACTAGAAGTACTGAGCCCTACCAAAATCAAAAGTAGTACACAGGAGCAGATGAAAGCATTACAACATCTTATAATTTGTTTTTAGTGAATAGAGATAAAAATGGCGGATAGAATATTCTGGATTTGTATTTCCGAGAGATGAAACCCCCAGGCGCACAGGCTGTTTTGAGATCATTAGGAAGCTGGAATGTCCGATCGGAGAGCAGGGAGATGCCCTCCCCGCTCCACGTATCATGAAAGCCGCGGCGACGGCCATCAGAGGGGTAGGGGGAACGAGAGAAGTTCGCCTTCGAAGATGTCTTCTCTGAACAGGCATGCACACCGATCCACGAACCTCTTGAAAGAGCCACCAGGAACAAATGGAAAAAGGCCGCGGTAAAGTCGCGTTGAGGGAAAACGCTACTTCGGTGCAAGAGCTGTCTTTCGGGGCAACTCTGCAATTTTGAGATTGCCGAAAACGCACCTGCATAACGTCTCCAAAATTCTGGGTTATTCCGCCGTCAGCAAAACGTTAAATAAAATTATGTCGGCCGAACAACTGCAGTCATCGTTATGTATCACCGGAAGAACTATAGAGGTTAGAATTACCCAAATATAATTAGAGCCTTTGGAACGTTTACTTCTTATTCCTAAGCCCGACGTTCTTTTTTTTTTTCGCATCGAGTCGGATAGACATTTTTTTTTTTTAATTTGTAATTTTTTTTTTTTATAACGAAGGACCATAATATTTCCGTAAATTAAAATAACGTAGAGCCTCTAAAACGCCTGAATTTTTTTTTTCAATTTCAATAAAGAATGTATTATAAGTTCAGGGCAAAACAAAAAGTCGCGCAATCTTGCACATGCCCTTGCTCAAGTACTGTATTTGCCTCTTTTACTTGTCATTATTATCTTCTTGCGAATTGTAAAACAGCTGCAGTCATTTCGTAACGTGAATCTCATTTTCGGCTGCACTCGAATTTTATTCCAACAAATCTATATGCTAAGGCTTTTTGTTTTTATTGTATGGCTTCTCCGAGAAGAAAAGGTCACCTGTATAAACTTTGTTAAAGCGGCTAACGTTATAAATATATCGCCTAAAGTATCGGATTTAAAGTCAATACTTTGCGAGGGTCAACACCTACGATACAAAAATAACCATAAAAATAGAGCAATCGGTCAAAATCTAACCAGGATCCAGCCCAAGCTGTGCTTAGTTTGATATCTGCTGCGCGACGCTCTAGCGAAAATATATTAGTACACCCTCGTCATCTATTTCGTAGTTGCCTATTCCGGAGATGTACAGTGCGCCGCAGTATGAAAGACCCACTGGGAGCGCGTGGCCGACGCGGCGGCTGGCGGGGGCGCTGCGAACGCTCCGGGCAATTCCATTCTGCTTCGAGGGGAGGACGCTCACTCGGCGCTCAGCACAAACGGATAAGCGCGCGCTTTAGCTGCGCCCCGAGTGAGCGTCCTCCCCTCGAAGCAGAATGGAACTGCCCGGAGCGCTCGCAGCGCCCCCACCAGCCACCGCCTCGGCCACCCGCTCCCAGTGGGTCTTTCATATTGCGGCGCACTGTACAACTTAGTCATCTAGGTCACACAAGATAAGTGGTGATATCGCAAACACTGTCTGGCAACAAGAAGTGATGTCAACAAATCCATTGCTAAAACCCATGAGTTCCGGCAAACACCGAAAGAAACACAAAAATAAAAAAACAGCCAACTTTCAAGAATAAAGCGTTAGACAATGCTCGAGAAAATTGCCTCTTGAGGTACAATATCGTACGGTAATGGCGGTAGTTTCCTTTGAACTACGGTTTTGATTAATCACGCAGACGAATACGGGCCTCGAAGGTCTCATCGTGCGAGTACACGCATGGCACACCTGAAGAATACATTCACGGCTGCGTTTTGCAGTTGCGAGTCGAGAAGATCTCTGACGCGGGTTTTGAAAAGAAACACATGAATTCTTGCAGGTAAGCGACAAAGACAACTGACAGATTGTTTTAGGCTTTCTGCCATATTTCGAACTAACAAATACGTAAAATTCTCGCGACTGTATGGAACGCGGACTACTCGATGAGCCCGTAAATGAAAACAAGGGGTACTGTCACAGAAACACATAATGAGTTAGAAGGAAACTCCGTTCATTGAGGGGACAGCAAATGTACATCGAAGGCGGTTAAAACAACATTCGTCGAAGGGACTAGTGTGCTTCGAAATAAAATACCACACATTATGGGGTAGGCGGAACACCTTGCATATAAATGAAAATCGAAATAAGAATACACGCTCTCAGACACCGCACATTTTCAACGCCGACGACGCACCGATTTTCTAGCGCTCACGGGTACACTCAGACTTTCTTTCCCTCTCCAAGTGCCTTTCAACTAAAATCGAGGGAAAAAAAAACAACACGAAACAAATACCTTCATCTTTCTCACTTGTTCGCTCCAGCGAAGACTCATCACAACGAACCAAAGATTTGGTGGCTTTCTTTTTCCGAGGAACCCACACAACTTGCTCTTCACACAGCTTCGGGGACACAGTACAACACATTGCGCACTCACCCAGCCTCAATTTCATTGTTTAAGAAAAAGAAAAAAAATAGAGCATTGAACACACCGACACCAAAGAGACATGAGTTTTGTGGACAACCGAAGTCCTAACAATGACACCGAGTCACTCGAAGCGACAGGGCATCGATGGAACGTCGAGGACAGGACAGTCGAATAAAACGTGCGTTGACTTGACACTCCCAGGGCCAATTCAGGGGCAGTGTTAGGAACCAAGACGATACTACTATATATAATGGGGAGCATCGATTCGTATTAAATTCGTGCCAGTGAAGTGAATTTCGACTTGAGATATGATGCGGGTTTAATGTTACCATCTTTGTTTCGCTGCAGCGTGCACTGTTACCATCTTTGTTTCGCTGCACTGTGCACTCGAAGAAGCTTGTTAAAACAATAATAATATTTTAATTAGATACCGTTTTGACGATTTATGGTTTTGTGTACGAGAACTGATGTCAGTCAACGGTCGCTTTTTGTTCTTCCCCAAGGGTGTTTCCATGCAACGCTCCTTCGGTTCGAGTGACTCTTTACAATTCGGAGGGAAAACCACACGTTACGAGTTCACGTGGACGAAACAAGGCTATGTACAGGGTCGAGATAATCGGAGAAGATGGAAGTACACTTGGGGGCAGGGAACAGAACGGACAGACCAAATTCGGGGAGCAGAACGAAAATCCCGGCGAGAGGCGAGGCTCCACAAAGAAATCGCTGGTGGTGGCCTTAAGCTTGGATGGTTAACCACTGAGGCCTGCGAGGGAAAGAGAATGAATAGCTATATATATTGTTAGGAAGGCGACGACGGACAGCTTCGCGAAAAGCGAGGCACGGGTGCGCGCCGTTATTGCTTGAGATTTTTGTGCCGCATTTCCACCGGTCATCTCTCCTTTTCTGTCCACATTTAATCATCAAACGTATACTGTTACTGGTCAGCGCTTAGCGGCAGTCCTCCTGAGTCAGTCTGCCTACCAGCATCGTCTGCTAAAGTTCTAGCGACATGTTGTGTACTGTTTCCCCAAGCGCTTCATAATCCATCCTCGTTTTTTTACAATGACTTTTTGGAAGGACCTTCCACCCTGACAAAACAATTTACTTTCACTGTTTTTTTCCTACGGGCGAACAAAAAGGAAGTCACACGGGGCAAGGTCCGGCATATACGGGGAGTGGAGAGGCGGTGTGATGCTATCTTTGTTCAAATATTGTTGCAATGACCAGGCAGTGTCTGTTGGGGCATTGACGTAATAGAATTGCCACTCCCTCCTTTACCGCACATCGGGGCGTTTCTGCGTCACTTAATGGCGCAAGCATCGCAATATTCGCGGGTAAAACGCCTGATTAACAGTTTCACCAGGAAGAACAAATTTGGAGTGAACAATGACCGAAGGTTTTGATGTTTTCATCAGGTAAGGAAGTTGAGGGTCGCCCTAAACGAGGTTGGTCGTTGATCAATAATTCACCGGCCTTGAAGCGAGAAAACCAATCGTAGACCTGCGATTTTTGGTTATTGTCTTCTTTTGTAAGTTGTCTGATGTATTAAACGAGTTTCCGCCGCCGTTTTCTTTTAGAGAAAACAGCTGTTCACGGCGGAACTTTGTTTCTTCAAATCAGGCAGTGCAAACAAAAAGAAAAACGAAAAATTATTTTGAAGCGCTTGGGAAAAAAATTCAGAAAATGCCGCTAGAACTTTAGCAGACGACGCCGGTCGGCAAACGGACTCGGAAGGGGTAGAGTTCCTGTATAGGCTCCCTACGGGAGCCAGAGTTGCGCATTTGTTTTCCCCGCGCCGCCACGCCGCTATTCGCCGAGATTCATCACGTGAGGAGAAAAGCATCCGGTGGCGTGCAAGAAAGCCACCTTTACGGTCGCTCCGCCGACGTTTCTCTTGCCCCGGCGTATGTTTCTCTGCTTTCCGCCTCCTTTTCCTCCTTTCCTGTTTTCCATGCGCGGCGGCGCGCGCGGCGCCGCTATTCGCCAAATTTAGTCACGTGAGGAGCAAAGCATCCTGCTCGTGCGGGAAAGCCGGCGCTACGGCCACGCGCCGAGGCTGAATGCGCAACTCTGCTACCGTAGGTAGCTACGCAGGAACTCTAGGAAGGGGTGCCGCTAAGCGCTGCTAGCGGCAGAGGTTGGTACTACGAACGGCCCGCCCTCCAGAAATCATTCCGGTCACTTTTAGGCCACCCTCGTAGACACCAATCGGGGCAGCGGGACAACTTGACATTAGGTAATCCCACGCTGTCACGTGCCGTTTAGGATTTACATGTGGTGCCACGTAACGTCACGTGTCGTGACCAAGTGACATTACGAAATGAAGTCGTGGTGTCATGTCACGTGACACAGTGTTACCTGACACCGTGACGCCATTTGAGGCAAGTCACGGTGTCATCGAACGTCACGCCAGGCAACTTGGTCAGGTGACTTGGCATCAGGTTGCACGACCTGACGGGCAACGTCACGACATGTATTAACGTTGTTGACGCCGGGACGTTAAGTGACACGACTGCGTCGCACCGAGGGTCACGTGGCAGACTGACGGGGCGTGACCTGATATCACGTGGTAGCACGACGGGACACGGTGATGTCACGCGACATGTCACGCGTAACGTGGCATCCTGTAGTGGCGTCCTGCTAAATTACGCATGTCGCTAGCCAGCTAAATTTAGCTTAGCGTTAGTGAGTCAAATGTAGCAGGAGATTCGCCCCCGCTAGTAGGGGCTTTTAGCCAGTCTTGGGTAGTAACGCGTTACTAGTAACGCGTTACTGTAATTTCGTTACTTTTTTGGTAACTTGTAACTGTAACGAGTTACTTTTTAAAAATGTAACTTGTAACTGTAGTTCTATTACTTTTTTCTGAGGTAACGATGAAAGTAACGACGTTACTTTTGTCGTTACTTTCCAGTTTTTTATGAATAACATACCACTGAACGAGGGTACAATTTAGCCATTTTTTGCGCTTTCCAAATTGTCTCTTCCGACATTTCGATTGTCAAGTTATTTTGCTACCAAGGATATGAATGTTGATTAGAACAAGGAAGAACTATCATGGCGGGCGTACAGAGGGTATTTTGCTGACGTGAAGGAGGCTACTAACACCTTGACCGCAGAAAACGGCACGTTGTTGCCTCACCGCCTACCTGGCAATCAAAAACCTTTTCCGGCGAAACAACACCGCAATTCCATCTAGCGCGTTAGACGAGCGCCCGTTCAGCAAGGGCAGGGACGTGTTCGTTATCAAACAAGGAAAACTTTCAAAAACTAATTTTGGGAAGCAACTGCTGCTAACTTACAATACGAAGTAAAATGCACACTTTTTGAATTTTATGCAAATAAACTTGGCGAAAAGCGTTTTCTAGTTTTTCCTATTTTTTTGTGTTATAGAAAAAGTAACTGAAAAGTAACGGTCGTTACTTTTTAAAAGTAACTGTAACTGTGACGAGTTACTTTTTTGTTGCGGTAACTGTAACGGTAACTTCACTACTTTTTTGTGAAAGTAACTGTAACTGTAACGAATTACTTATTAAAAGTAACTTACCCAAGACTGCTTTTAGCACACAGTTACCGTGCTTCGCGTACCGAAGCCTTGTAAGCATGCTTTTAAGTTCGCGCCCGGGTGATACCGTGACGGCAGGACCCGCGCTTAAAAGACATGCTTCAAAGGCTCCGGTAGTGCAATACACGGAACACGGTAACGATCTGCTAAATGTCCCAAATCTTAGCTATAGTTAAAACCGCCTCATTTAGTAATGGGAGTCCGCTAACTTTAGCTTACAAGTGTACTTTAGGACTACGGTCATGGCTACCGTTACGGCTGCGTTCACGCAAATCTTAACTTCACTGTGGTATAAAATGCATTCTGCAATATTAAAGAGAAATACAAACACTAGACTTGTTTTTACCATTCTTATAAACCCGGGGAGTAGAGAACGTGTCGCTCGTGCGTCATGCGTGCGTCGTGACACGTTACGCTGCGGTACGGAAAGCTTTCTGGTCGTTTCGGATGCATTGCAAGCACGACACATTCATGTGGTTCCTGTGTTCACCGGAATTATCGGGACAAGCTTAAATTTATTCAGAGCCCGGGTCGTTGTGAGATCGCGCTACGCTTCGTCATCCGAGAGCCAACCGAGCGCGCTGATGGTCGCCTGCCTTTGCGCAGGCTCCCTCGAGTTATCATCCGGGAGCCAGCTGCTCACGCTGATGGTCGCGTGCCACCGCGCAGGCTCTTGCGAGTCGTACTTATAATCCGGCTGTTCACGCCCTCGTTCGCCTCATCTTCGTGCGCCGAGAAAGGGCTAAGGGGTTTGGGCTTCGGACCGCACGGAGCGGGGTTCGATGACCGCTGAGCCGCCTGGCAAATGTGGCTATTTATGAGCAGTTATGCCTAATTATGCACACTTATGACATACTATGCCTTGTATACGCTTTGTATACTCATACATTGCCCACTAGGGGCCATGACTGCTCACTGTTGGATCGGCCTACGTGCAAGGGTTCTTCGTTATACTCGAGAATAACGCTTTTCGCCTGGAATTGAGTCCTTAAAAAAATTCTGTCTGAGTTACGCGTCCTATTTGTTCTAAAACAATAAACAGGCCTTAATTTGGCACCGTCTCTAACCCTCTAACCGGCAATTCAACAACACTGTAGACCAAAGAAAAAAATCACAGATCAAAACACGCTTAAAATAAAATTAAAACATTGGATAGGGCTAGTTGGTTTATTATGATCTAGAGGACTTAAAAGCATTAAAAAAAAAAACACGGAAGAAAGTTAGACACATACAACACGGACCGGCGCTAACTTTCAACTGATTTAGTCAAGGCAGACTATCCTGCACACATGCGTGAACACTCTTTCCCCTCTTGCCAACCAAATGTGATAAAAGGAAATTATAAACACAAAAAACAGATGGCGATGATTTTAACATTCGTATCAGTTCAACGTGACTACACAAAACCACCTAGAAAAAGAAACTTACATGTCATTTAGTAAAATCGAAGCTGACAACTGCGCCAGCACGCCTTCGGTTTATGTAATGACAAGGAAGTTTCTTTTCCATATGGTTTTGTCTAGTCACGTTGAACTCCTACGAATGCTCAAATCACTCTCATCTGATGTTTGTGTTTATCGGTTACTTTAGTCACATGGGGTTGTCAAGATGGAAAAGAGTGTTCACGCACGTATCCTGGGTGGTTTGCCTCGATTAAATCAGTTGAAAGTTAGCGTCTGTCCGTGTTGTATCTGTCTCTTCTTCGTTCGTGTTTTTGCGCTTTTACGTTCTCTAGATTAGAATAGAAACCTTCTCCGCAAAATTAAGTCTTATTGAGACAATAGCTCGTCATTATAGTTCATACATCGCATACTGTAAGATGCCGAAATCTGCTGTTCGAACGGCAAAACGCGCGCACTTAGTCATTCTCTGGCGTTCTGAGTTCACCGGTGGACCGCGTTCTGGTGGCTGCGGGAAGATTTTCTCTCGGTAAAGCAGTCATATCTTTTCAACTATATACAACCAACCACTTTTTTTCTTCATCTTTTATGTCTATATTGACACAATACCGCTCGCTTAGGCCTGTACATTCACCGTTAACTGGCCGATCAACAAAAATTGTTAATTTTCTGTACTTAGTTCAATTTCTTTATGAAACGATTTGGTGTACATTGTGGAACAAATTTGCACGTGAATGAGAAAAAAAAAAAAGAATGAACCAGAGCAAATATTCTAGGCCCTCTGTTTCATGTGGTGCCAGTTCTCGAGGGTTAATAGGCGCTAGTGGCTCGCCTGCTGCAGGCTCGCTCACCAGCTCAGTTGTCCTGTCCGTCGCTGGGATCCTTGAGCGAGTGCCACTGCGCGATGGGGCGGCGAGGGGAGGCCAGCATGTCCATCCAGTGGCGCAGCTCGGTGCCCGTGGCGTTGCAGCCAAGCACCACTTTCCCGATGGGCTCGGACGTCCCGATCCGGTCGTAGTCGACCACCGTGACAACCAGCTGCACCTTCTGTAACGCGCCAGGACGCCAGAGAAACAGATCTCAGGCTCATGTACTTCTTACCCCCGGGTTCATCCCCGATATACTGAGGCATTGGGCCCTCAGCAAACCCTCGTTAAAGGTTGCACAAGCTTTATCGGAGAGCACAGAATGTATCCAGCGCGAGCTACCACCTCGCGAAAATTACCGCCACGTGACTCGCGGTATGCGCCGAAGAACGGGGTGAGAGGAGGCGTCGGGAGCGCCGAGCTCTGATTGGAAAGATTAGGGGGTAGACCTAAAGCTAGGGACATTTCTCTCTACTGAACTCGTCAAACGCGTTAGAACGCTGAACGCGGGTGTCCGGTGTTTGGGTCTTTCATTCGAACGCGTTCGACGAGTCCAGTGGAGTTAAAGGCAGCTAGCTTTAGGTCTACCCACTAAACTATCCAATGAGAGCTCAGCGTTCTGATGTCCCCTCTCGGCTCCTCCTCCCCCTCATATTTTCTGCGCATCTACTTATTATTTGTAGGCCCGACAATTCTTTTTGCCTTTTATATTTTCGCGATATCTCGAGTGGCTGGTTAGCTTACTATAATAATGAACAATAATACTCTGGAAGAAAGCAATAGCGTGGACGCATATCCCGCACTTAAATTTAGAGTGAATCGTTTAAACAGCAATCTTCTTTTTCCTCGGGAAAACGTGCAAAGTCCCGCAATTTTTCCCGCGCTGGCCAAACATTCATTAAGAAACAGAGTTACGGGTTTTAGTAGAGTTAGTCGGTAGATACTGTTGGCAATCAGGTCAGCTGAACAAGGAAAAAACAAGAACACGAAGGAAAGGACTGGACATTCACACCGCTGACAGACAACGGACCCTGCGCCCATGTGCGGCAGGGTCAACAAGGGACGTGATCAACAGCCGATATGTGACACAACCCATTAAGGAGGAGATCGAACAGTCACGCCTCTAGCGGCACGCTTCAGCTGTGGGGACAACAAACAGAATTTTCTTGTTTGTTTTTGATCAGCGACATCGAAGATGACGATTCAAAGACCGCTCCTCGTGCGACCAAAGCACAAGAACTCCTTCATGCCTGAGGTGCTGGAGGCCTTGGTCATTGAAGAAAAAGGAGAAGATTGCGTGAGCACCTCGTCGATTAGAGTTCACGAAAAAGAACGCCAATATTTGCGGTTTGCCACACCCCACTGAGTGGTAGGCTAAAAGGTTGTTTTTAAACGTGTTTAATGAGCCGTAGGACGAAGAAGAAAATGCCTAGGCTGGGATTAGGAAAAAGTAAAAGCCAGTTGTTAGTCAGCGGTGTGAATGTCCAGCCCTTTCCTTCGTGTTCTTGTTTTTTACGTGTCCAGCTGACTTGATTGCCAACAATTCATTAAAGGAGCTGTGCAACGATATTCAATTGGAATGTTTTTCTCTCTACACGAGCTTACTGGCACACCTGGGACTCAAGGATACACACACGCAACGCCATTGGCCAAGAAACTCCTTTGTTGCGGTGTAATTTCAAGGACAAAAGCGATCATTTTCATTCAATCTCTCCTTTGCAAAATTTGATGACGTAACTCGGGGATCGCAATACACCCAAGTGACGATATTTGAATGCGGTTCATAGATTGGACCCGAGCATTGCGTGGGCACTCGACTTGGGCTCGTGACAATCGCTAGCTCGAGAAGCATTCGGGTTGTGACCCGTGTCCAATCGCTGCAACGACGACAACAGCCGAGTCATAACAATGTCTGGAACTCAGCGCGTGTCCTGTGCTTTGCCAACCCCAGCGCGTGGCTATGATCAACACTGGCGGCATATAATCGGCTCCAGATCACGTGGCCGCTTGTTCTGGCTGCGAGTTGAGGGGGTGAACGCTGCTCGTTTTTCTTTAATTTTTTTTCTGGAACTTCTATTGCGTGGGGTGAAAAACGAACGCGTGTTTCATAGGTCATTAACGTTAGGGATCCGTTTTAAGCGGTATTTGCGCAAAGTACAAAAATTGTTGCATCGCTCCTTTAAGAACGCAAGAAGGCTAATAATAACGACACTTGCAGATTTACAGTAGCTCTCAAGCCCGTACCTGTCTGAACGATGATACCTACGGCGGAGCTGATAAAACTATTTTTAACTCGAAAATCATACGGCTCCTTGTAAGTAATGCGCAGGGCAGTTAGAGGAACTTAGAGGGCATTGTTTGTGAAATGCTAGTTTTGTGGGAGCATTCGCGCATGTAATGCGGTTTCTAAAACCCTTTTCTTGCGGCTGCGCTTTCTGTAGCGCTTGAGCGCAAAAGAATAGGATGTCCGCTCATTAAGGCTGGTTTAGACACTCGCGTTTGAGTGTGATCAACTGCGTTACAAAACCGCTTTGGACCCTTACGAAGAGAGAACACTCTGGCGTCATACATCCGGCAGGCCTGGAACACTTACGATCAAGGTATATTTTGTGACCTTTCGCAGAATAATCGTGAGAGTGTTTCATAAGCGATAATGCGTAGACTCGACATCACAAATAGTAGTGGAGGACCTTCAGCATAGTTGTACACGATCCGAAGTGTTCGAGGGATACGTGATACACTATGTTAGCGTGCCGACGGGTTCTCTCGTGGCATGAGGCTACAAGCTGTTTCAACGCGGTCGATCACGGTTATACGTAAATGTGTGAACCGGCCCTTACGATGGGCCGGCAGTACGCCGAGGCGCGCGCGCGGGGTGAACGCGCAGCAGCAAGACGACAGTTTTGCCAACTTCAGCGACCACCTGCAAACAGCTATTCACTCTGTGATAGCGCAAAAATCAACGCATAACAACTGAAAAATAAAAAATAATAACCGCAGTATTTCTTTTTTTTCTTTTTTTTGTTATACGCTCAACAAGCGCGTGCCAGTTAGCGCAAAATCTTGTTTATCTGATTTTTCTTCGCGGGAAGCCGAACGCTCGAAAACGTGCTGCCGGAACAATGACGCATTCTTCAGTTAAGTCGACGACAGGGGCGCATTTTTTTTTTCAACACCTGAGCAACTTTATAGCATATATTGTGGGAATTTTGACGCGGTTATAACGTTTGCCCCGTTTAGCATAGTACGCTATACATACTTTATGTGAAGTAGAGTAAAAAAAAAAGAAAAACAATTTGGATACCAGTTAGCGTTTTCCCACGTCAGGTGGCGCGCGCTGAGCATAAACCAGACTCACGCGAAGCGATTGCGCATGAACCGACAGCAGCGCCACCGCAGCGGGGCGACGCCAAAGCCGTGTGCGCACAGGTGGTGTTCGACCCGAGTGCCCGTACTAATATTCCAGCAAGTACAGGCGGTAGTTCTTTTTAATTTTTGTCTCTTTACAGCCACCACGAGCCTGGAACTGTCTATTGCAGTAGACACATAATGAGGTATTTACTTAGAAAAACGTCCGCTCCACAAACAAAAGGTGTAGTTGCGAGGTAGAAGCCTCATTGTGGGGATTATGAAATACTTTCTGAAGTACTGACAAGAAATTGACCCTAACTACTTTTGAAGCAGTTTACGTAAAATGCAGGCGTTTACTTAATTATATCAGCTTCAGCCGAGCCAAATTCGTTCGATTAGATAATCTGTCACTATTCTCATAATGAGTGCAATGTAAATAATTTGTGGTGATAAGGGCCGACTTTTCGCTAACTTTACAATGATGCAGTGTAGCTGTCTGTCAGACACACACAAAAAAAGGAGGTTGAATGAATTGTGGAGAATACACTTGCAAATAGAGCTTTCGGCTCGCAAGTGTTCTAGTCGCTCGCCATGTGAGCGAGTGAAAAATTACGGAAAAAGAGAACTTATGAAAAAACGTAGGTGACGTCGCTAAATATGCAAGGCATGAAAAAAAGATACACAACACACAGTTTGAAATTTTTTGTGAGAGAGGAGGTTTGCACAGCTGTATTTTCAGGAATTCGCTCGTCAACAGCAATCGCGCGAAAAATGGAAGTGACGCGCTATCGCGTACATAAATATAAATTACTGATTCCAAGTACTCTAAGATGAAACGATGTTGCATGTTCCCTTGAAAACAGGACGTGTAACTTGACATTTTCATTTAAAGTCTCGTTTATCTTAGCAGCTTTTTTCAGACTTTTCTAGGTGCATTTAGGTGCACGAGACTGAGCGAAAATGACACATAAACATATATATCTATTATTGGCACGAGGAAATTTTCACAACATCATAGGTAGAAAGGATTGAAAATATATGCAGATAAATGAACCCTATAGATCGAGTGGAATTATTGTCGTGAAGCCACCGAAAGACAAAATCTTTGGTGGCGCCTGGTTTTGAACCCTGGGTCTCACAGTTAACGGTCGGGTATGCTAAGGACCGATTATTTCATTCGATCAGTACGGTTCATTCTTCAGAATATTTCCGACATATATATTTGATATGAACAGCTAAACAAAATACGCAAAAAACAAACATGAATTACCCAACGATAACTTAAAAATACAATTCTTAAAAACATAAAAAGACAGAAATTTAATTAATCAGGTTTAAATTACGAAGAATAATTTATTTTACAATATTTCTGGGGAGCTATCTCTGTGCCATCGCGAGATGGTAAAATGGAGAAGTGAGTTTTTGACAAAGTGTAGGTGGTTTGAAAAAAAAAAAAAAAGGTAAGATTTAAGTAGGTGATTTACGTGAGTGAAAATCTGATGTGCCAGCTGACTAAATGCTATCCCTGATAGGTACAGGAACATTATGCAGAGTGCAGGCACTTGACGCTCCCTGCGGATACGTGTTATAACTCCTAGGGCTCTTAAACTCGTCAGACACAAAGTGGGCGCCGAAGCTGGCGGGGCGCACCGATTGGCCTATTACGACGATGACTTGGCGCTTTTTTCGCCGACGTCCAAAGGGCGTGCTCCGCGAACTTTCTGCTCCGACTTCGTGTTTGACGAGTTTAGAGGCCCTGGACTGATGGGTGTACGACCTTACCGAAACGCAGTTTACAACGTTATCCTGGGGGTTTGGGGACTCTGAGACCGTCCGGCGACTCCAGATACGGCCTAAAAGCTCTCTTGGGTTCCTCTGTGGAAAACGGTGGAAGGGGAGAGTACGGCTTTGTGAAACAGTCAGTTCATGGAACTTCTTGAATCCCGGAAGACCAGATGCGGTCACAACAAAAAAGGGACGCCTCAGGGAAAAAAATAAAAAATAAATAAAACTGAAGAAAAACACAAAGCAACAACAAAAAGTTTAACATAAAATATAATTAACGCAAATGTAGAAAAACAAAAGAGAAGCATTTGGTTTGGACGCTGCCAAAAAATATGTAATGCGATAGCATTTGGGATTTTTTGCCTATCTTCGTACGTCCGCTGCCGAGCTCTGTGCTCTCGGTCTGCAACAACCTGGCCACGTCTTCGCGCCATTTTTTTTTCTTAATTGAACAGGCGTATAATCGTAGACCCGAATAAAATTTCCACGCTAAATTTTGCGGGGAAATCGAATTGCCGTATATCTGTACACCAATTCTGGTCTTCCCGCTTAATTTAGCGGGGAAACGCTTCCCTGCTACGTTTAGTTGGGGGAGATTGAATTGGGGTATAATAACGCGCCAATTTAAGTTTTTCCGCTCAACTTCCCTATACGGGTGGGAAATGAGGGAGAGGAGGGGTACCTGAACACGCGGGGAGGTCATTGCACCGAGCGCTGGTTGTAAAGATTATTGGGTAGACAAAAAGCTAGCTCCCTTTGTCGGCACCATATCCTCCTCTATACTCAAAAAGCCTGGCAGTTCGACTGCAGAACCATAGAGTCCCCGGTCACAGATTGGGAGCGCGAGGATCTGTTAGCAGAGAGCATCAAAAAGCCATTTCTCGGGAAACCTGGACGTCAGCCCACAGCTTTTGCGTGCGGCGAGGACGCGGAACACACTTGTTCGCTCGGCACCAGTGTGCTTCGGCGTCTCGCCGCAGCGGGGCGCCAGTCACGTGACTCTCCTCTCATCCGTTGTGTGCCGCTCTACCTTTCCATTTCGGCGGCCGCTTCTCGTGGCGATCTGCCAGGCTTCGTGAGTATATGCGAGGCTGTGTCTCTATACTCACCGTTCAAACGCGTTCGAACGCACAAGGCCGGCGTTTGCTTTCGAACAGCGAGCAGAGAGACAAGGGCAGCTAGCTTCTCCTCTACCCACTAGTCAGTCCTAATAGAGCTCCGTGTTTCCACGTCTCCGCGCACTCTCGTCTCCTCCTTTCCCTCAGTGTCTGCCCGTATTGAGCAGCGAAGGACGAACGCAATCGATCTCACGGTTTGTTGAGCCTAGGAATGCTACCGCATTAAAAAAAGGGCAACGTAAAATGTAATAACATAAATGTAAATAACGGCAACAGAAAGTTGATAACAACGGCGTGTTGTCCAGGCTGGCGACCGGACGACGGAGGAAATCCCGCCGCGTGCGTACGTACCTGTATTTGTTCAAATGGGACTTCGAAGGTGAAGGACTCATTGTAGTAGGGGTTCAGGGTGCATTTTTTGATGCTCGTCTTCTTCTTCTTGAGCCTCTTTCCGTTCATCATTAGTGCAATCTTCACGTAGGGGTCTGCGGAGTGAAACACAATGCGAGGGTCGTGTGAGTCTCACTAAAATGAATATACAAACAAGACTGAACGGTTTTTGCGAGTCAATCTAGAAACCGATTAATCGATTGATTGAGTCTTTCTATTTTTGCAGTTTTTCTGACCATGTACTCTCAGAAATACGGGGTGCAGAAGGTACACCCCTTGTCCCATATGTAACACCCCAAAACAACAATTCGACGATCAGTCCACCAACGTCGAACCGCCCATACAAAGTTTCACGAGCTGCTTGATAAACGAGCGATGCAACTTATTAAAATAGGTAATATACGCAATAAAGGATACAGTAAGACAATCAAGGTTTTTTCGGTACTTCTGCAAAACCTCAGTGTTCTTTTGAAGTCTTTGATACACACATTAGCGATATTGTACGTCATATTCGACAGCTATCACACCGCTCGTAAAAGTTTGTGTAGCCAGATCGACATGAGGGGACTGAACGTCGAAATTTAGTTTAGGGGTGTTACATATTTGATAAGGGGTGTACCGCTCTACACCCCCTATTTCTGAGAGTGTAGACATGTCTTACTGTGGCAGGCAAAACTAGAAAGCAACATAAGGTTTACCGAAACATCTGCAAAACAGACGCGTGTCCACTGAAACCAATAAAAGTTTAGTTGAATTTAGTGACGCCTATAAACTATAGACCCCTAAAGAGTCAGGGTCTGGGGTTTTACGTGCCAAACCAGCGACGAGCATCTCGCACGCCCTAGCGCAGGACTGAAGATTCATTTTGACCAACTGGGGATCGTTTGATGCGAAACGGAAAAATCTGTGACACGACGCCGCCTCCGCAATTAGGTTGCCTTCTGTATGATTTCGGGCACCACAACCGAGATTCGAACTTGCCACCTGGCGATCCGGAGGAAGGCGCTTCGTTTCGAAGCCACCGAGGTGGCTGGAATCGGGCCTCGTAAAAGGAGAGGGAATCCTCTAAATCCTAATTATTAATAATCCTTGTCCTTTCATACCCACTCTTACAAAACACCTCTTATCAAATAGCTTTTATGTTTGTTTGTTAACTATATGTGATGTCCTGCGTGTTCAAAACAGGGTTAATGTGCCAACAACGGTCTGACAGACAACATACGTTTGTGAAAGTTTTGCAGCTCCAAAACGGCGGCACTATATATTTTTTGTAAGACGCACGAATTCAGAAAAACAAAACATAAGTTTCATTACTGTTTCTTTTTTTTTCTTAGTGCTTGTATACTGTTAGGGTTATTAAATAACACTGACAGCTCAACAACAAAAATTCGCTGACAGCTCAGGCATCTAATTATCAGTGGCGAAAAAATCTCTGAGAAGCCAGCTGCATAGTGATGAACGATTTTTAGAAAGGCTCTAGCTCTTAATAAAACATTTTTTTTATGTGTAGGAAAGCTCGGAAGAGATGTAATATGCCCATTAAGCTTCAGCTAAAATAGTCCAGACAGAAACCCTTTCGGAAAAAAAAGTTAAGGCACTTCACCAAGTGTATCAAATACCACTTACTTCCGTGAAAAAAACTGTCCTAAAGATCATTTGCATAATTACGTTCATTGTCCTGCTCGTTGTTGCCTTATTTATTTATTGTTTTTAAAATCTTTTTAATGCCTTCTCTCGAATACTATACGTAGTTCTTTCTCACCTGAAATAAACTACAGAAGGTAGGGTTATTAAATTGGTCAGAAGCACAGGGCACCGACCGACTTTGACATCGCGAAATATCTGGAAAATTCTATTTGTGCGAGGTGTTGAAGTGATAAAATAACCATCGATTTATGGGGGTGTTTTAGAGTGCAGCTCTTAGGCGCCTGTTTCCGCGTATAACGGCGTCGGCGTAACCGCCCCGCTAAATTTATCGGGAAATTGAATTTGTGTTGAGGTCACGTGACGTCACTTTTCCCACTAAATCTAAGAGAGAAACTGAATTTGTTCATGGGTGGCATGGCACGAAGTCATTTGACGTAAATTTCGCCGCTAAGTTTAGCGGGGAAACTGTGGGAGGAGGAGAGGGTATAGAAGAGGAGGGAAGGGTGCGGAGGGGAAGGATGGGAGGGTACGCAGGAGGAGGAGAGAAGTGTACGGAGGAGGAGCAGTGGGGGTCGAGGAGGGGAGAGGCCAGAAGGAGGAGAGGAGGTGGAGGAGAGGAGGAAGAGCATACTCTTACCTCTGTACCCTCTCCTCCTCCTTCTCAAGAGCTGCGCTCTAATTTTGCATTAGAGAGATTTGTAAGCGTCTTTATTTTTTCTCCCGTTTTCTTTTTCGTGTTTCCTTGAACATGTGCAGATTTCCGAGTAGTTTTGATTGGTCCAAAAAAATTCACTTAACATTTAGCTTTCTGGTTTTATAAATAATTAATGCAGGCTTTATTTCATTTGTGACCAGTTTTACACAGCCGCATTAACATAGCCTGGACATGCGCACGTTTTGCGCAGCTCGGCATCGATTCTCGGCTGCTTGAATCAATAATTCAAGACTCATGAGCCTCGGACCGTCATTTCTTGATAAATAAAAATTGATGTGTAATATATTCCCCAATTTTAGAGGTTCGTTTTATAATCAGGTTACATATAGCAAAATAACTACTCATTAGACGTGCTTTGAAGCATTCTTTCATCTAAACCTGGCTTGCCAAAAAAAATAAATAATATATATATATATATATATATATGTTGTTTTTTTAATTTTTGGGTTGCCGGTTTACGATTAGATACAAGAAATGTAATTTTGTAAAGCGAAGTGCTTGGAATGAAGCTTTTCCTTCTAAAAAGCTAAAAAGTTTACTGCGCAACGGAAACCTCCTGTAGAAGGGACTACACCGGACACAATACGTCTTTGTCTGATGGAGGGACGGGATTTAACCCGTTAGCATCCTTGGACTGGCAGTATTTTGCCATGAAGTTTTCTTTCCCCGTTCACTCCTCAGCTGACTATGGGGAGGGAGCTACGAGTTCACCGGACCAATCAGCCGCCTCGTTTTCATCACCTGCCCCCGCTCTCTGTGCGTGGATATGGGCGAGCGCATGACTACGTGACCAAAGATTGACAGATGGCTGATGCAATGAGCTCGTAGGTTCCACTGATCTGTTAGCTTAGGGGCGAACGGAGTAGAGAGGCCCCTCTTGGTTTCACATATATGAGTTCCGAGAAACACATTTAAAGTATCTGCAGTCATTGACAACGTAACAAACGCCGGGCGTAGCGAGCTCCAAACATCTTATTGCTCCACAGCAAATAAGGTTGCGTCACTTATTGATAAGAACACAGTAGAAGAAATCACGAGCAAAAGGCACGAACAGGACAGGCCACGCACTCCGCTTTTTTACCTGCCAGAGCATATTGCCCCGGGTCAGTGAACAAAAGGCTTCCCGGTCGGCCGCTAGTGAGCGCACCTGTTGGCCGAGAAGGTCAACTTTGGGCAGGTCGTGCCATAGAACGTCTGGACGCGCGCGCTCGGGTGTTGGAGCTTTACATCGGCTCCAGTGATTGCGTTCGCGGACCCTCTCGGAGTTGGGTAAAAGTTCGAATAGGATGACCCTATTTGTTGAGTCGATATTCATCACCCTCTGTAATGCTAAACCCCAGACTAAAGTGATGGGGATAAAAACAAAAATAATAAACAAATAACGTACAATTACACATACTGCCCTCAAAACGTGTCGGTACAGGATCAATGCGGGAAAGAGTGTACAAACCGGAGAGTCCTCCGACGTCCATTTTCTTGAGGTTCTTGGCTTCCAGGATGACTACCGTCAGCTTGCCGGCCGTGGGGACATAGCGGAGCGAGAAGCAAATGTCTCCCAGCTTGTTTTCCTACAGGGAACGACAGCAAGGAAAGACATTGAAGAATGAAGACGGAGGTAGACGCGGCCATGCTGGAGCTGCTTGCTGCGAATGCCGCACGAATTAACATGCAATTTCTTATTACAAAATGTTGCCTTAGAACGTTTATCGAGCCAGCGGCTTAGCCTCAATCAGATATTATCCAGGTTGAGGTTTAGACGACATATGATTGTCATAGATAATATCTCCATTTCAAATGATCGGTTACTTTTGCTTGTTTTTTTGTCTTAAGCCCTTGTTTGCAGGTTATCAACTAGAATATATTACAAAATAATCGCCTGAAACGCGCCGCATTCAATTGTATTGTCCAATGAAACATCATTATACTACTCATTAGAGCTCTAACTGGAACTAAGCGAATCACGCGAAAACTGGAGCAAACGCTTTGCTATACATTATTAGGATGTAAAATAAAATAAAATAAAACTTAAGCATAAACTTATTTGTCTACGGGAGAGTACGAAACCAGCAAAGTTAGGTCCCAGTGTCTAGTTTTCAACTTTGCGTCGTTCACACGCAAACGGCAACGGTCAACAGCTCCTAGGTTAGCGAGGCTACAGTGCTGTTTCTGCGTCCTCCGAAAGAAACAAACTTGGGGAAGAGAATAATGGACAACTTGAATCTCCGATGGAACACGAGTATCAGCCGATCGCTGACGCGGCACTTCTGTCCCACATGTGCTCAGGGTTTGAGTCTGTTATGCTACGTTTCACACAATGTCTGACCGCAGCCAACGCTACGAGGCAACAGAGTCAACCCAGCGGCATCAAAGGTACATCACCAGGGGGCTCGTATACTTGATGTAAAACAGAGCACAGGCGAGACCGAAAAGTCAGCATTGTGTCCTCGCTATCCAGGTGCGCTCAACGGCGCGGCAGCTTCATTGGCAAACAGCCACCGAAGACATTGGTCGAGGAGGCAGAGGCACCCTCTCATCAGCGACAGAAGCCAAGAGGCGTGCGCAGTAAGGCTCGTTCTGACCACTACGACAACACCGGAATGCCAGAGCAGACACACACACAAACGCGGGGGGAGAGAGGCGCGCCCGGCAGAGCGCAGCTTTTTCCCCCCGAGCTCCACAGAAGCCGGGATATCTATGACACTGGCACAGGCCGTCGGCCAGGCAAGAGACACAGCGAGCACGTTGCACGGACCTCGTGGAAGGCACGACACTCGGGGTGCTGCTAGTGGAAGAAGTCGTGGCGGTGGGGTGCCCCACAAGGGCCGCCCGCTATGCGACGGAAGAGAGCCACTAAATGGACTATGCTCCAGAGTTGCCACACTTGAGCCATCGCGATGCTCACAAAAAAAAAAAAAGTTTTTAATTATTTGAATATTTTTTTCCTGAAATCACAGTAAACATTTTTCCTATTCTTCAGAAATGATTGAAACGAGAGAACATAACAATGTCTCTCGAATTCCACGCAACGCATTTTCAAGCCGAGGAAAACGCACATTGGAATCGAATCGCCTTTTTTTTTTTTTTTTTTTTGCCCGTTCCGTTTATTGGGTGTTTAGGATGTTTGACGTTGTTTGTTCTGAGAACTCAAATTTGCGTTTAACGAAGTGCCTCTGACCCTGAGCGTTTCAGGTGTGTCGCCTTGCATGAATTGCAGTGTCCCATGTTTTCTCTTCTGGCTTCTTTCATTAGGCGCCACTGTAATTTATTCCGCAATTGTACTTCTTATTGTTGCGTTCACGCATTTGTTTCGGCTATTCTCGGCCAATGATTGAAAAAGAGTAGTTTGGCGATCAGTAAACGGAGGTTAAGTAATTAAGTCTCTTTACGGGTGATATGTTTTATGGCAGATACATTTTTGTTGACTGACGTGAATGCTGAATAGATGCCAAGCCTAGCCAGGTATAGCCACATTAGGTTTGATGTGGATCCATTGACTACTCTTGATTATACGAGTACACCTTGTAGGTAGAAACTGTAAAAAGCGTATGAAAAAGTCTAGTTCGCATGCCTGTTCATAACGTTTGCCTCGTTAAATTGTACCGCACAGTTTACAGTTTAGATAATTGCAAAGTGGTGTGCATATTTGTTTGTCAAATAATATTTTTCGAATCAAACAAAAGCGGCTTCAAGCGCGACGTAAATTGACAACTCGCTCTTCTTAAGCCCAGCAAATAAAAAGAAAAAAAAATGAAGAAAAGCAGGTGTGAAGTAATTTACACCGCAGATGACTATGTTGGATAATCGTATAATTCTGACGGTACTAATATTTTCTCGTGATTTCTAGATTCGCATTAGGCATTTGATATTTTGTAACGCCTTTTTGGGAAATTTTCGCCTGGCATTTAGATTCTCTTGTAGCTCTTCGGTTCTCTTATGGCTTTGAATTCTCTTAGAGCTTCTGGAATAGAGCCATTCCGAAATTGTGAAATTATGCATAGATTATGCGCAGCCGCCATTAATTGGTTTCATTGCTTCCGGCGTGAAGCCCGTGATTGATTTCGATCTCGCGTCGAGCACTGACGTAACACTCGCGTGAAAAATGCGTTTAGATCTGAGTACACCCCGAATGCTGACGAAGTGCGTTTGTGAAATCAGTACTCACAGTGCATAACCAACTAATGGTGGCCGCACAAAATTTATGCATCCTTTCGAAATTTCTCACGGCTCTTGGATACTCTGAGGGCTTTTGAATACTCTCGTAGTTTTAAGAATGCTCTTCTCGTTTTTAGGTTCTATCGTGGCTCTTGGGTTCTCTGGTGTTTTTTCTTTCTGAGAGGGTACACCGAGCAGGCGGCTCTTGTGGGGGTTGGCGGTGGCACAGCACACAGACGAGACGGCGAGCTCCGACTACTACACGACAGCTCCAAGCTGCGGTCGTTGGGAGGGACGGGTCTGACACACCGACTACGGACACAGCACACCACAGACTAGAGTTTTGCAGACGCCACTGCCTCGGGGGGAGGGAGCAGACACTCTTCGACCACGAGATGGCGCCTCTCATCCTCGGGGGGGACTGCCTTCTTCACGTCACGGCATGCGGTTTGGGGCATGCAGGACCACAGAAAAAGGCTGGCAGGTAAGCGCACGAGGCGGTTCAACCGGAAAGGCTCGGGCAACGTGCGAATAGCCGTGCGTGCTTTCACGTGGTCACGTCTCTGTGGGTCTGTTCGTATTCTAAAAAGAGATCGATCGTATCAAACGAACTTGCGTTTTGCGTGGAAATGATCCAGGTATGAACGCCTCATTATAGTTCCGCGGCCAACGAGATTTTGGTATCGATCGGCAAGATCAGACGCAAAGAATGAATCGCAGAAAACAAAACATGAACATGATTGGCCACGCTTTGCGAATTTCCAACCGTCATGGCTATAGTAATTGAAACGCTAAGAAACACAAGGTGTGACGAGTTTCCTGCATCTTATTATTTGCTTCATAGTCATTAAGACTGCAGAACTGACCGAAAAGAACGTCGAAAAACGAAGCACGAAGCATCAACATATTAAACAATGTCCTGCGTGTATTAGGCAGTCATTGACTATAGTTCTGATTTTCTCCGCCAGGTTGCATCACGTAACAGAAAAAGTTAGCAAATAAAAAATAAATAAATGTATCTTAATCGTAAGGATAAAGTGAAAAGACCCAGAATGTACAGCGTGATTAATGCTGCGCTGGGTGTTTATAAGTTTTTCTGAGCCTATAAAGGCACGACGAATTTTGAGGAAACTAATATGAGCGGACTTAGGTGCCGCTTACTCTAGCGGGAACTGTTTCCCCGCTACTTTTAGCGGAAACAATTACGTGGTACACTTTTGCCGTTCACATTTATTGGGACATTCTTGGTTTAAAATCTTGAGCCCAGAAACATTCTGCATGAAAAGAAGAAAACAGGAAACGGCGAACGTGGGCAAGTCTTGGAATTACGAGATATGAACCTCTCAGTGAGCTCGAGCAAATTTTGAATGAGTCCTAGTGATCGCCAAACCATGAACCTTCTTTTAATTGATAAGGTTCGCATTCGTGAATTTGTAATTTGTGGTGAATGAGCTTGACGTTGAGGTATGCTATATATGACAAACCGACTTTGCCGGCAGTTCTAGCAAACCAAAAATATAGGTCCGGAAGTTTGGGAGTCATATTTCTTTGAAGTTTGAACAGAAGGCGCAGAACTCAGTCATAATTTGCAGCACAGAGTAATTTCGCATCTTATATGACAATCTATGTAGGAAATGCAAAGTGTGCTTGAAATGTATTCATGCAGTGTTTAAAATAATGTGCTGGACTAGCGGCTAACTACGGCGTTAATATATGATCGGCATGCCTTAAAAGATCTTAGTAAAACCTATTTTAGAAAAGTGTGAAAGGATATTCTTTTTGTTTTGTGCGCACAGTCGTTTTATGATTATCACAAAATATGATACTGGAACCTCCAGAAGGGCAGTTCATTTCAGAAAGAAACACCTCTTCCCGAAGCAGCAAATCATGTGTCCCCTTTGATCAGGAACCCGAACAGCGGAATGAAAGGCTGGTGATTTTTTTATTTCATGACGACTATCTTAGCTGGTGGACAGGCTATATGGTATACATAGGGTAACGTGCTGACCCTTCTGGTGCTTTATATGCAGGAGAGTTTGTGAAGCTCTCACAACTTTCACTGTTGGACAACTTTCAACGAAGAACACCAAAACGGCATCTTAAGATTGACTTCTGAGTGTGAAAAACCTTGAGATTATCTATCGTATTGATCGTAGTCAAGTAGTCAGATGGTTCTGTATATTATTTACGCATAAAAATGGCCAACATACACAGATCATGGTAACATAGTCTCATAATGTTATATGTAATTTTAACCTTACTTTCACCTACACAGAGAAGGTAAAATAATGATGGTTTTGTATTTGATTCACACCCGGAGATTGTCCATTTGCACAGATCATGGTGAAATAATCGAATGGTTTTGTATGTAACTTACAGTTAGGAGTTGTCCATTTACTGAGATGAT